GTAAGTATGTGTGGCTCCCACCTTCTACTCCAAGGATAGCACAAAGAACTAAAATGCCCAGAAATGAGGGAAGGGATTGGACTCGGTGAGTCAAGGTACAGTGAAAGCAAATTTGTAGGAGACCGTCTGCCAACTAGTTGTTTGAAAACTCACACATGTCCTTACAGAGCACTGCCATCCACACATAGCCCTGTTAAGGATGGGTGGGGGGGAGACAAGGAGCCGGAGACGCAGCCCCACCCGGGTGGAATCTGCAGGGACTGTGGAGAAGGACGTGCAGGTGCCGATGGGGAGGGAGCTCTGGGAGGCAGCAGAGGCGAAACGGATCAGACCATCAGAAGGTGCCGGCAAAGTCCAGAGTGGTGCACGCTGGAGCCACACGTCGGGCCCTCAGAAAGTAGAGGAGAAGCTCCCACTTCTAAACTCCCTCGTGTTCTCTGCCTGGATCTCCGTGCTCCCTCCTTCTCCACATGCAGCCACGTGCGTGTTAGTGAGGAGGGGCAGGCACAGGGGGCTCGGCGGATGCGAGAACTCCTGGGAGGATGGAGCCCAGCACAGCCTCCCAGGAGGACTGGGACTCGGGCAGGCAGCAGGGGAAACGGCCTCAGATGAGGAGGAGAGAGAAGGTATATGGAGGAGGGAACACCTGGAAGCCCCGAGGCAAAGCTTCCGGAAGGGGCATCAGGATCGAAGGGGTGCCAGATGTGGGGACTGTCTTCTGTCCCCAACAGGTACTTGTGCTCGGAGACCATGCGGGAGGAGTGCAGAACAATCTGATTACTTTGGGGGAACCTGAGTGTATATTTTTTAAAGCTTTCTGGAAGAAAGAATCAAGGGCCGAGCTCCGTGCCTGGGATCGCAGGGCCGCAGTGGTGATGGCGGGCTTTGTTGGCTCAGCAGCCTTTCCAGTGACTACACTTGAGTGGCCTCGGGCCCCAGGGCAACTGTCAGGTGCAGAATCTGCAGAGATGCAGCCATCCTGAGATAGAGGTGGGCAGCCCCCTGACTTGAACAGATTCCAGAACCTCGGCTGACAGGATCTGGGACCTAGCAGGGGCTCGGGCCCAGCGCAGTCCAGCGGTCATGCAGCACCAGACCCAGGCTCACCTGAATAAAGCCGGGTACTGGGGCAGCAGGTGATGGCTGCCGTGTCCGCCGGGAAGATCCTGATGACAGTGGCGCTGTGACATCTGCCCTGGGCGTTCGTGTTCTGCGTGAGAAAGAAGTGGCCGGCGGGAAGGTGAGGCGTCAGTGTGGCTCAGACAGGTGTCCACAGTCTCTGGTTCATTGCTGTTTAGAAATCACACTGTCTGTTTTTATAACACATCGCTATAGAGAGGCGGCATGCCGTGGCACAGACCCGCCTGAGTTCCCGACTTCCTGACTCCCCGGCGACCTCAGGTACAGCATTTTGTGTCCTCACGCCACCTGGTTTGAACCCCTGCTGCACCAGTGACCAACGAGCTGTTGGTCAAGTTACTTAGCCTCCCTACGCTCATGTCTTCATCCTCCAAACAAGGCTAGTCCCTAACCAAAGCATTATCATAAAAACTAAATGAATGTTTATAAAGTATCTGAAGAATGCCTGGCCAACATATGCAAAAAAATAACCCAAAATGGATCAAAGGCCCAAATGTAAGAGCTAAAACTATACAAGTCTTAGGAGAAGTCACGGGGGTAAATGTTCATGACCTCGGACTTGGCCATTCTTAGATGTGACACAAAAAGCACAAGAGAAAAAAGAAAAAAAAATCGGTGAATTGGACTTGATCAAGATTAGAAGCTGGTCTAGCTCAGATGTCACCTCCCCCATGAAGCCTCTCCTGATCCCTCCTGACGGAGTGGGTTTTTATAGTGAGGACCGTGACAGTGAAAGCAGACACTGTGTCGAGCCCCTCCTCTGTGCTGGATGCCGCTCTAAGTGTTTCTGATTTGTCAGCTTGCTCATCACATCCGCCCAGGGTCAGCTTCTGCTGCTATCTCTACGACAGGTGAAGAATCTGAGCCCAGGTCACGTAGCGCTCCGTGCTCCCACAGCCTGTGGCGTGGACCCTCTCGTGTGGCCTGGAGCAGACTGAGCTGGTACAGTCTGGACCCCTGTTTGCAAATGTGAGCCTCTGAGAACTGCCTCTCCCCCTTGTGTCCCCATGTGTCGTCGGACCGACCGCCATAACTCCTGCAGGGGAGGGGAGCGAGGGAGACAGGCAGGCCTGGGGCCTGGAGTCCTGGAGGACCTTGAACCCTGGACTGGACGTTTAAACCCAGGCCCACAGTTACCAGGAAGAAGCCACTTCAGGTTTCAAGGAACAGAATGACATGATAAAGATGGTGCTTTAGGAAAGAGGATCAGGACTATGGTGTGTGAGATGAATCAGGGGAGGGAATGACGGGAAGCAGGGACACCTGCTCCCTGTGGGTGGCACCGGGGGCATCAGCCCCAGCAGGCAAAGGGAGAAGCCCCCTGCAGGAGGGGAGCTAATGCCTCTGCACCTGGGGGGGAGGGTGACACAAGGACTGGGGCGCTGTACACAGGGAAGGCATGGAGACACTCCCAGGGCGCCAGGAACCGTGGCGATGAGCTGCGCGCTGAGCAGGGCTGGAGAGTGGAGGACTCCGCCGCTCACCCGCCCCTGTGCCTGCCCTGCCCCTGCCGGCGCCAGTCTTCAGGCACAGAGCCGCGTGGCCCTGGTCTCCGGCCCCGGGAGCTCCACCTGCACATCTGGAGGAAAACGGAAAACGTCTCCCAAGCAAAACGCACTCTTCCCTACAACGTGTTTCTTTTCATTTTCCTTCCATTAAAAATAAAACCAAGGTGATAAAAGATTTAATATCTATCACAGCACATTTTACTCACTCAAAATATTAATTGGCTGCAGTCTGACTTGATTCAAAAATTTATTATAGGCTTAGAATACATAAAAGAAGTTAAAATTTAGTGATACACCTTTCCCGTAGGCAAACTTACAAGAACAGCTACTGAAGTTAAATTAGGATGTATACTTGTGTCTGGAAGTTTTCCAGCTCCCTCCTCCTGATCGAAGGGAATCCTTGAAGTGCCAGGCGCCCTGAGCAGAAAACTGATAGTTGTGCTTTCAGATCTGCCGTCGGTGAGAGCCACCTGGGGAAACCACCTTTTGTGCGTTTTCAGTTAAAAAAAAAAAAAAAAAAGTTAGTACTTCCACCCCTTCCTGTGCTGTGCAAAATACCCTCTCTTTGTGGTCTCTTAAATGACACTGACAGTATGTTTTTTAGTCTTTTTAAAAGAAGAACACCTGGTTTGAGTCCTGTGCCTGGCCCACGCGGCTCAGTTTCCGTGGACATGGCCCCGTGGGCACGGAAGGCAGGGGTGCAGGTGCAAAAACTCGGGGCACAACAGATCAGTACCTCAGAGAGCACGGACATTCTGTTGGCTCATTTTTACTTGCAGAGCTTCAGGAGACATTAGGTTTCTCCTGGGCCATGGGTTTATAAATTTGGCTGCACGTTGGAATCACGTGGGATTTTTCTTTAACATTCTGATTCCTGGCTCTCACCCCTCGATACTGATCATTGCGCTGGGCTGATGAACCGGACAGTGGGATTTTTAAGAGCTCCCCGGATCATTCTAGTGGGCACCAAAATTCAAGAGCCACTGACCGAGACTGTCCTCTCCCTCCACGAATGGGTCACCACCACCCAGCGGCTCAGGAACGGCTTTGCCTCGCGTCAGCCCTTCACCCAGACCTGGGTTCACTGAGCATGGTCAGCAGACCCTCACAGCTGTGCCCTGGCTGGTGTCCCCACCGCCCCCTCATGAGCACCCTCAGATGACGGGGCCAGGCACACGGACCCCCGCAGGGCCCCGCTGCCTTCTCATCACCAGAAGACTCACATCTAACCATATTGCTCCCTGCTGCTGGTGGGGTTCCACGCGAGGAGCCAGTCCTGCCGGCCCCTGGCCCCCCCTGCCACCTTGCCCCTGATAGGACAGCGCACGCGGAGCCCCTGTCCACCTCCGCCGACCCCCTGTGCCCACCTCGGCTCGGCTCTCCTCCCATTCTGGTTCTTCTGTGGAGCCCGCCTCCGTCCTACTCTTCACTGAGCTGCAGCATGAACAGCACTTTCTCGAAACCCTGTCACTTGGCGCCGCACGGGTGACCCTTGAGGACTTTATGCTGAGTGAAATAGAGTCGCAGAAGGACAGATACCGTGTGATTCCATTTACACGAGATGCTCCGAGTCACCAGATTCGTGGAGACCGATGGCAGACGCGGGGGGCGCCAGGGGCTGGGGAGGGGTGAGCGTCAGTGTTTCGTGGGGACAGAGTCTCAGCCGGGGACGACAGGAAAGTTCTGGAGATAGCAACAGCGATGGTGGCACATAGTGTGAATGTGAGCAATGCCACCAAATTATACACTTAACCATGGTTATGGTGGCAAATTTTGTGTCGTGTATATTTTTCCACAATAAAAAATTTTTCCCTCGTGTTCTCAGTGACTCCTTTGACCTAAATTAGGGAATCCTGTTACGTCTTCCTGGAGCTCCCCCTGCCCCGATCAGAACATGTTCCTGGTAAAGTTTGTCTTCTTTCCCGGATTGTAAGGAGAACGAAAGCACATTATATGTCCCACCCCATTAATCACGGCGCCTCAGAGGAGGTGTCACTAAGTAATCGTAATGACCATTGAGTGAATAAATGCCAGGTTCCCAGTGTTTCCACCCCCCTATCGGAATTGCTAGGAACAGTACAATAATGGAAAATAGTCATTGCGGTTTGAGTGGAAGTGCCTAAAGTATGAGACCACACATTGTCCCGTCCTGGGGCAAACTGTGTGAAGTAGGGATGGGGGGAGCCATAGGGGTATGTGGGTGAGCCCCAGATGATCCCGACGCTGGCTTTGTTCTATTGGAGAAATGCAGCAGGTCAAAGCAAACCACACCACCCACTTCAGATTTCTTAAGAGCACCCTATTTAGAACCACGTCCTGCATTAACACTGTGTTTTCTCTCCTCCCAACTAGATATTTATCTTTGAAAACAATATCTACTACTGTGCGCACGTCGGGAAGCAGGCCATCCGTGTGGTCTCGACTGGAAAGGAGGGCGTGATCTACAACGGCCTCAGCGACTGGCTGTATGAAGGTGAGCCACACGGTGGGCTGGACGGCTCTGTGGGCCCTGCTGCCGCAAGACCGGCGGTGGTGGTGGTTGTCGCCTTTGACCTCTGCTGTAAGTTTACCTCCCGTTTCTTGAGGTTCCGCCAGGTTACAAAGACGCTGTTGGAGCGTCAGGGAGCATCAGGCTGTCAGTGGGAGCCCTCACCCGGTGGCCAGGTGCGCAGAGCTTTCCAGAACCCAAGCTCCTGGCGGAAGGGGCAGGAGGCGCTGTTCTGGGGGGTCCGCGAATGCCCAGGTTTCCCGAGCCCCTCCCCAAGAGGTAGGGTGTCTTGTTTTGCCTGGGGGTGGAGGGAGAGCTGGAGAAGAAATAACGGGCAGAGCTTTCCGAAGAAGCCGGTCCGGGTGATTTGCTGTTTCCAGGACATGCGCCCTGCTGCACGTTTTCTCCTGCTGGCTTTCCTCTGTGCCAGAGTTCTCCACTGGAATGCATTATTGAATAACTAAAAATGTGAGCGGGAGGCTCTCTTCCTAAACATTTATAGTCTGTCTCCACACGGATGAGACTTTTGTCGTAACAGCAACGATCATGTATTGATCGCTGTTGCGTTCTGGTCGCTGTTCTGAGCACTTTCTTATCTGTAGCCTCATTTAACCGTCTGTGCGTCTGAGTCATCTCTAAAGGGCACTGTAGACGGGGGGCTTAAACAACAAGCATCTGCTCCTCACAGTTCTGGGGGCTGCAAGTCCAAGATCAGGGCGCCAGCCGATCCGGCGTCTGTCGAGGACCCACCTCATAGACAGAGTCTTCACTGCGCCCACACACGGCAGAGAGGGGGAGAGAGAGAGCTGGTCTCTTCATCCCCTTATCAGGGCACTGATGCCACCATGGGGGCTCCCCCCTCATGATCTCATCCCCTCCCAAAGACCCCACCTCCTAACACCATCCTACTGGGGACTCAGGCTTCAGCGTGAATTCTGGGGGACACATTCAGCCCATAGTGCCCTCACAATGACATGGTGACAGAAGTATCATTGACATTTCCCACATGAGGCAAGAGAAGCTTAGGTGATCTGCCAAAGTTCACACAAAGCTAAGGAACATGTACTGGGGAGTATCATTGTTCAAGTCCAGGACAATTCCTTTTTACAAATCCAGGTGTGGATCAGGATGCTTCTGCACCAGCGCTGGGCCAATAAAGAGATTATGTCTTCTGCACCTACCTGCCTGAGACCACGTGGCCGTGGTGACAGTTCACCATGCTAGGCCAAGGGGAGGTCAAGGAATTATCAAGCCCAGAAAACACCGTTTTTCCTCAGTGCTGTGCATTCCTCAAGCCAGGACTCTGCACTGTGGGGCTTTATGCGCCAACAGGCCTACAGCAGAGAGATCCGTAAGCTTAGTATCAGTTACCACCATCATTTCACTGAGGTCTCTGAAGCATAAAAACCTATGACTTGATTTCTTGTATAAGTTGTATACGACGAAATGCACAATCATCAGGACACAGTTTGGCATGAGTTTGACAGATGTCTGTACTGTGCCCCCCAATCAAGACATCGAGAATCCCGTCATGGGATTGTTGGGTTGTTGGGTTGTTGACAACTCAGAAAGTTATCCTGAGCCCCTTCCTGTTCCATCCCCCACCTGAGTCTCCCTTCCTGATACCACGGCCAACCTGATTTCTGTAGGGCCTGTTTTCCAGCAGACATGCCAGAATGGGGGTGCCCATTAGGGCTGTCCTCTCCAGGGCGGTCACCCCTCCAGGGGGTTTATTCTAACATGGGACTGGCAAGGCTCAGAGCACTCAGGATTCCAGATTTTGAGTTGCTTTCTGGGCCCCAGGAGAATCAACCTGAAGATTTTTTTGCTATATTGTCCTTGGCCCCACTTGAGGGTGTCACTGGAATGAAAAGGAAACTGGCCAGTGTCCACTCTGGTCATGTGCACAGCCAGCCCCATGAGCGGCTGGCCCCAAGTTCCAGAGAGGTCAGTGCAGTAGCAACCCGAAGGCCCCCCCAAAAAAGAAAAGATCCTGGAGTCCTAGCAGTTAAAGCCTAGACAGCTCTAGGACTAATCTCCTTAAAAAAAAAAAAAAATCCATAACCAGAAGATTTAAAATATCTTTTTTAATATCTTCCTAATAAAATAAAAAACTCATCATTTGGCAATTCAAGTTAAGCTTTTGCTTTAGCAAATCCATTGAAAGGAAATTTTTCTTCAAGGCATTTATATGAAATTGTGTTGGTGTGATAACAGAGCCCCAAATATTTTAAATCAATCACAGCTGATGCGGCAGCTTCATCCACTTAGTGGTGTTCCCTGGAAGGTTGTAGACGCCGATGCTTGGATTTCTCAAGTTGGGGGACTGAGAGCCCCGGGAATCTTGGTTCCTGTGTGAATAATGGGTGAACTTTGAAGATTGTCTTTTTCTAATCTGTGACTTAACTGTTTCACTTCCAGACACTGCTTCTAAAAAAAAAAAAAAAAAAATTGGAAAAAATATTGGGGTGGGGAACGCCCTGGAAGTGTTTGCAGAGGGCCTAACATGCTTGGAGTTGTGAGCTCCGAGGAGACACGAGGCTGGGTCAGTGGGGAGAGACGTTGCCGTTCATGGACTCGGAATATCGAATGCAATATCGATTTGCTTTGTTTCCCAAAAGGGGTCCTAACACATTGGACCTTTCAGAATGCTGACATCAGGCTGACGGCGAGACGAGGTGGGGACACGGGGGCTGCTGGGAGCCTGAGCTCCTTGAGCAGAGGTGTGCACCCACCCTGTGGGAAAATCTGTCCAGTTAACCGAAGTGACCCACCCGTTGGCTGGAAACAGCTCCGCGTACCTCTCCGATTTGCTGAGTCCTCAGATCATGGTAGCCACCGACTGATTTTGATAAGCAGAATGCAATCTTTGTTTTATTGTTCTGGGCAAATGTCATGCAGTGACACAGAATTTTGACCTCAGTATAAGATTTAAAACTGCTTCATACTGTCCTACAACTGTGTTAAGATTTACTGAGGTTGGCTACCCAGAAGTGAAAATGAAGATATTCCTGGGGTTTTTTGAGAACTCCAATCCTGGGTCCTGTTAAGAATTCACACGTTGATGCAGGTTTATATTATTGTTTATAGTGTTTCCACCTTCCGCATCACCAGCACCCACACAGGGTAATGCTGGTACAGCACAGGGTTGGTGGGGTGTGGTTTTCTAATGAGACTCGAAGTCGTCCAGTGTTTCAGCCCAACTGTGAGACATCCACACCTCTACTATCTCAACAGTCATCTGCGTGCTCCAAGATAAATACTGTTATTCACGGACATGCCCTTATCATGAAATGGCCTACAGCCCAGGGAAAGTGGGAGGTGTCGGGGTCGCTTGAGAACCAGGTCTTCCCCCACATAGAGAAGCCCTTTATTCCCTCAACTCCTCTGAGACGCTGGTGGGTGCGAGAGGGGTGGTGAACTTGGGCCACAGCCTGGAATCATCGGGCTGGGATGATGGACAGAGCTGAGAAAGTGGCCTGAAGGGTATTTATTTAATTTGTGGTTTGGTATGGATGTAATCCCAGGGCTGAATTTTAACCTGAACTAATCCACAGCTTAAAGGTACTTGGAAGATGTGGCCAGATCCGAGGACCCTGCGTGGCCAGGCAGCCTTGCCCCATGGAAGTCAGCAGGAATAATGCTTAGTAAAGCCCTCCGCTAGCTTCCCTTCTGTGCATTCCTCTAGCTTGGTTTTAGGATCCATCTAGTCAGGCGGTGCCTGAGCTATAGTGCCCAGATTTCGGGAAAAGTCCATGCAGACCACGACGCCTTCTGCTGTGCCTCTGCCTGGTGCCCACACCTGGTGCCCTCTGTTGCCCCTGCCCTTCCATTTCCTATAGCCCCGGCGCTCCCACCTCCTCCCCGGGGTCACGGCCCTCATGGCACTCTGCCCTCTGTCCACGTACCTGGGACCCCCAGATCCCTGTCCGCCATGCCCTGGGCTGACTGTGCCCCGCCGAGGGCTGGCATGGAGGAGGTGCGGATGTGGCCAGGCTGGCCAGCAAGGCCCCTTTCCCACAGCTGCTGTGGACAGAGGTATGTTAGCACATCCCAAGTTCGAGCCCAGAATGCTCTAGAAACACTGTTCTCGCTGTGGGCAGGCATGCTGTGCAATCAGGGAGGGTTTTGCTACGCTGGCTCATTCTGTGCTGCTCACTTACATCGAAGCCTGGTCACGCGGTCCTGACATACCAGGTTCAACCTTGCGTCCAGAGGCTGTGACGCCAGGACAAGTCTCAGGCCTGTTTTGCAATTCTTGACGTTGTTTCCTAGAACAGCTTGTCTGGGGTCAGCACTGATGACCTGGCAGCTTTTTATCCCAGTGAGGTGCTCTGAGAGACATCAACAAAGGGTCCGGCGGGGCCCCAGGTGGATAAATTAGTTACCTCATGATTCGTGATTTTGCTGTGATTCCATGCCTTACAGTTCTGATTATTCAAAAGATGTTGATGGGGAAAGGCTTCCGTGGGAAGAGACGTCATCATGGGCGAAGGCATTTGTGGAGATCCGTGGGATGACTTAGTGTGCACTTTCCACAGAGAGGGCTCTTCCCTGTTCATCCCCATCACACCAGACTTTCTCCATCGCATGAGAGCATAACAAAGCTCTCAAGTCATATTTACCGTGGAACACGCATACTGACGTCAGTTTAAAATCATGGTTTATTAAGTACTTGGATGCTGTGTCTGCTTTATTGCACATTGATGTTCGGTGTGTCCAGCGCCCAGTCGGCGCAGGTCGCAAGCAGACCAAGCCACGTGGGACCTTGGTTTTAAGATCATGGTGACAGTCCGTCTTGTGGGGCACAGCACCAGCCTTGGACACTGTGAGGGAGCTGGGGGATATACCGGACATCATTGTACTGGTGAGAAGGTGCTTCCAGCGCCTCTGAAGCTATTTTTTAAACTTCCTGACATACATTTAGATAATGATTTTTTGCACAGTGTGTGGAGACACTGTGGCGTGGAGACTCTTGATGGGCT